TTTGTTTGATTGTTTGTTTCAGCTGTGGGTGAGCTTGCATCTTACTTGGTCAAGTGGAGTTAGCTGCTCACCTTAGTTTAATGCTATACCCTCGAACATTCCAGGCATAGCAACACTATCTCCGTGGAGAGAAGCAGGTGACTCTCCACCAGAAAAGTTACATAGCATGCCTTTAAATGAAGAATAATCTGCAGACAATATGGACACCTCGTTCCTTTAGATGTGCTGTCTATCCTTGGAACTGGGGTTAGGGCGCTATCTACTGACAGCAGAGGGAATTACTATTGAAAAAACAACAACAGCTAGAGCTATAATTTTTTTCTGACATGCTAACAAAAGCATGCAGTTGCAATGAACACAATTTGATATTAGAAATGAAAGTTTTTTCATGATTTATGGACATAAAACAGTACAGGAGACCTCCAGATTTTTTCCTGTGAAGTAACAATCCTGGAAAAGTACAACTTTTTTTTTTTTCTGGAGGAGGGGACTTACCAAACAGTTTTGAGAGTTTGGTTGACATCATTAGTGCCCCAAGAGGCTTCAACTCAAAAATAAAACAAAATAGGTCAACGCCACAACAAGAACATAACAGAGCTGAGTTAATGTCAAAGAAAAAAAAAAGAAGAAACATTTGCCATGTGTATTACAAGCATACAAAACATTCACAGCATTAGCCAAAATAAGAAATAAAATATTAAAATGTAAACAAAAACAAAAATCTCCATGGATTTATTATTGAGCTAACAGTACATTCTTTTTGCAAATAGCCAACAAAGGGTCAACTGGTCTTGCTTAATTCAAACTCATTACAGCTGTTTTCATGGACACAATATGAAGTGATTATATTTCCAGCCAGGTTTTGCCCTTGGCTCTGAGCTCCAGTTTTCCCCTCCATTGATTCCCACTGACCCCTCTCTGTAAACAAGCGAGAGGAGAGCGGGCAAACACGCCTCATCTGTATCCTTCGTCTTGGTGTGAAATGATGCATGGAGGCCCGGGCCAACTGCTTATGCTGTCTTTTCACAACCATCCCTGTGAGCATGTTTGATTAAAGTCAATCACAGATGTACCGCTAACCAACGTGACATAGGGGGGATGAGTGGGAATGGGGTTATAGTCTTTGAAGACAACAAAACATGGGTTGGGTTCACAAGACATAAAAACATCCTTTGAAAGTCTGTATTTAAAGGTCTTATATTACACAAAATGGATTCTTGTGACTAGAAGTGAGAATGTTGACCTGGAGTTGTGTTTTGTTTCATTCACACGTTTCTTTATTATTTGTCTACATCGTCAATGCTCTGATCAACCTTGTGATGTCATAAAAACACAGTGGAGCATTTCCTTTATTACCACTTCACATCACAAGGAGTGTTTTATGTTTGAGAGAAGAATTCTTCCTAAATAAACTGGGTTTGTGTGTTAGACATGTGTGAATGAAACAAAACAAAACTCCAGACACATTTTTGATAAGGAAACAATGTCTGGTTGGTTTCCTTTTTGAGGATCTGTTTTCCTCTACCACTAAACATATACAGATGTACAACAGACATCACAGGGAGACAAGAGGTTAACAAGAATAAAGGTTACTGGGTGGCACATAATCAAGATTGTTGTCAATTGAGAGGACCTTAAATCGGGAAATTAGTATTGCAAATTTGTGGACCCCAAAAGGATATGTCAAAAACAGTGAGTCACTAGTGTTATACAGTGTTATACTAGTGTATGCATTTTCTCCCTCTGAAATGATAAAACCTGATGTTGTGAAAAGCAGCCTATTGATACTGTGCAGCTGATATAATCAACATTCCCTAGATTGTGTGTTGCCAACTGTAAGCACTGCCCTATCTGAGACTGGTTAGAATGAGGAAGCTTACAACATGTGAGCTGATTTGTGCTGTTAAACAAGTCCCTCTCAAATAACATTTACAGTCACAAGCTAGGCAGCATTAACCAACTATTTTTCAATTAGTCAAATCAAATTCGTAAACAGGACCATGCATGTTCGTATTAACCACAGGCTCCTGAAAATATGTATTTTAAATCCATTTTGTATTTTTTCATGAGTTTTCAGATTCTCTTAAAACCTTTCTGGCTGTGTTTGCTAATCCGTGCATTGTGCCACCATTGCAACTGCTGAGCATTAATCTATACACATGCATGTAGAAAACCCCAGTGTGATGTCATTGGAAACTATCAATTAGCGCGCCTCACAACAACTTTCACAAGAAAAGAGGCGAGAATAACACAATTGTTTGCAAAGATAATGGGAGCTGATTCAAGGATTCTCAATAAAGTGCACTTGACATTCGATCCAATGCAAGTGTTAAATACATCTCAGGGTATCTACATAGGGTAATATGCAGCAGATAGATGGAACACATGACAAGATGATGATAACAGTTTTCTGATGCGGGGTTGTAAATTCAGTTTAATGGACAGTGCTCGGAGAGGAGAGCGGGCATTGGATATATGCTGCAGGGTATAATGACAACTCCTGGTGACAGGGTAAAAGGAAGGAGGGAGAATACGAGCTGTACACAGTGACAGCAGGAGTGGAATGTGGGAAGGCTCTTTGCAGTGTTTCACAACCTTTTTCCTGGGATACAGAATACACCCTTTCCCATTACTTTACAAAGATGTCTGGTCGCTGCTAAATCTTCCAGGCTGTGTCCGAATGTCCAGGCTATTCCCTTTTCCCTAGGGCACTATTGAGGGGTCATGTCATTTTAGCAATGCCCCTTGAAAAGTAGTGGGCATCAGTGGTCACTAGACTGGTCAATATATAGACAACAGTGGATTGCTAGAGTTGGGAAAACAACAGAAGACAGCGACAGAACTCCAACCATGACTGAAGCAGATAGAAGTGTTGGTTTATCACATTATTCATCCCTGATTATGAATAAAATTGAATAAACTCTTGAATTAACTGTTGCTGTGTAAAGTTGCTAGTTTTAGTTATTTACCGTTTGAGCTGATTGACAATTTCCACATTTCAACCAAAAATAATTATTCAGTTTACGTATGATCCTGTTTGACAAAAACTTAATATTAGTCCACATACACTTGTGTGTTAGAGCCCTGCACTGCAGGATCCGACACAAAACAGTGCGGCGCGGGATACATTTTGAAAGCTCATTGCGGACACGTGCAGGAGAGAGACTGTACAATGTGGGTGTAGCGGATGGGATGATAAACTTCAGTCCCGCAAACTAAATATGAGTGTAAAGTAAAATATACAAATGATTAATGTTTGCCTATCATACATCAGTTGTGCTGGATATTTTATTTGGAATTAATAAAAACATTTTAAGCAGCCTAAACCTGCACATGTGGTCTAATCTCGCACACATTTTAGACAATTCCATTCCGCTTCTCCGTGTTTGATAGAGCTTAAGCGAACGTCCCCATCTTGCGGGACTGGCGGGCGGGAGCGGGACAAAATATTGCAGATGTGGGCGGGAGCGGGAATGAAAATTACAATTCTTTGCAGGTACGGGCGGGAGCAGGACTGAAAATTTTGACCCGTGCAGACCTCTATTTGTGTGTCACCACAATTTGATCATTATTTATGATAGAAATCAAGTTTTATCTGAGTTTAGATGATTTTTTTTTCACTTAGACACCAGAGGCACATGACCCGAAAGTAGTGAGCTGCATGTCCGAATTGCTCTGTGAATGAGTACACTATATAGTCCAGACTAGAGTGGACATTGGGACATATCCCCAGAGTTCACATGGGTGTTATTGACAGATGGATTATCCAATTAGAATCAATGAGGGAAACACAAAACTGAGGTGAGAGAAGTTTGATTTTGTCCTTCGTTTGACATGCATCTCAAAGGGCCGCAACGAAATGGTGACCAGACTGATAAAAATACAAAGAAATTTCATTCTGGACTTCCTGTTTCCCTGATTGGCTAATCCACCTGTCAGTCATGCCTGCCTGAACATGGGCAGATTCACCAGTGACCAGACTCATCTTTGTAAAATGTACTCTGGATCCCAGGCAAGTCCTGTCGAATAAAACAAAACCTAGTACAATTAAGAGAGGGGATGTAATATTCTGACAGTCAGTCCAGATTCTGTTCATTGTCTACAGATTTTTCAGTGCAGGCTGGAGGAGAGATGGTACAACTTGACAGATGGTGCTAGCAGCAAAATAAATGTTCAGTCGATTCAGTCAGACAACTCAAGTCTTTTCACACAGCCACTAGGCACTATAGAAAAAAAAAAAGATCTTGCTTGTTTGGTTCTCATTGACTTTGCGTTATGAAACTACACATTAGCTCTATAGACTTTTAGTACAGCTTACATACATATGTGAATGCTAAGAGGCCATGAGGTAACACTTCTGGCTGCTTGAAGTAACAAAACCCTTGTGACATCTGACACGACACTTCACATTTAGATGGACAGCAGACAAATACATGGAAGTAAAAAATAAATAATTCTAAACAATATATTATTATTATTTTTTTCTATAAATGAACATCTATACTGTACAAGTTAGTGTTATACAATCCGCGAGTAAATGCTTTTCTATTGCCTGGGTTCTAGAGGCCAAAACACACTGACCTATTTCTGATCGTTCTGTTGACCTGCTATAGTGCATCCAGTGTGAAAGATATATATATATATATATATATATATATATATATATATATATATATATATATATATATATATATATATATATATATATATATATATATATATATATATATATATATATATATTATATATTTATATTTTATATTTACAACAAGTAAAGGGTCTAAACCAGCCCTAAAGGGTAAGTAGTCAAATGCTTGAGAGTTTCATATAGATTTTAGAGCATTATAAGGCCTACAAAACATCTTTACTCCAGATGTTGAATTTTGCATGGCTACACGTCATTTTTGAAGCTGCTCCTCCCTCCTTATCTGGCCATTCACGGTCCTAATCTTGTTGTTTATACTTACATTATATAAAGTTCACAACAATCAGCAGCTGTGTTATTTAAAGTAGTTGAGGCCTGCGACTAAGAAGAACTTCTCGAGAAAGAGCTCTGAGTCCAGGACGGCGATATGTGCGGCGCGCCCGATCAGAGTGTTGGCTGTGTTGGGGAGGGCGTGGAAAACGTTCTGTCTGATAAGCTGGCAGTCTTTGGCCTCCACCAGCGGCTGCAGCAGGTTGTTGATCATCTCAGTGTAAACAGGACCTGCAAAGAAAAAAGTTTTACTGTCTTACTTCAGGCAATTCAAAGTTAGAAAAGTGGAGGTCCTATAGGCTCTGTGCACAGCAGCACGCTGGCTGGCTCACTGTGCCTCAAAGCGAACAGTCACTTTATTAAAATCGTAAAACATAAAATAAACAACCTATTAAAATTCTAATTAATAAAAATGAAGACGACTCAGTTTGTGGTGGTGTTGTAATATTTATTATGCCTCAACATTAGCATTATCATTAGCACAAACAAACATCTTTCTTTCTAAACACAGACGTGTCCTCTGGGGTAGGGTGACCAGACGTCCCTATTTACCCGGGACAGTCCCAGTTTTGAGCCCCGTGTCCCCTGTCCCTGCAGATTTATCCAAAACCAATGATTTGTCCCAGTTTTATACAAGAAATGTCCCAGGTTTCCCTATTTTTGACCAATCTAATACCTGCCAACAGTAAAAAGAAGCATAAATTGTAATTTGTTTAGGTAAAACACAGAAAAGCTGCTTAAAAAGGACCAAAACACAAAGAAAATGTTAGTCATGAATGGTATCCATTTCCCTTAATTACGCACACATTTCACAATTTTATTATTACCAACCACCAAAAAAACAGGGATGTCCCAGTTTTTATTTGGAAATTCTGGTCACCCTACTCCGGTGACATATTAATTTTATTTGTGTGCTTTTTAATATGTTGTCAGTCACATCTACCCACACCTCTCTGTCCAATGCCTTATCTTTAAAAATATTTATTAATTTTAGCATGACTCAAAAAAAAAAAATTGGGCAGGAAGTGGTCACGCTAACAGTGTGCTTGTTGGGAGCTGTTATGCACAGAGCCTATGGACACTTTGCAGTGACATCATGCTGAAAACTCAGGAAAAAACACAAAATTTAAACAACACATTTTCAGAAGCCTGTGATTAATACGAGGCTCTAATACCTGGCTCTATTTTGAAGTTTGATTTTCAACAGTAATAACTAAGTGTAAGTAATTGGAAAACTGTTGACTAATGCTAGATAGGTTAGAACAGGAATTATGTGTGAGAGACTTGTTTAACAGCACAAATCAACTCACCTCTTGTAGTTCAAGCTAAGTCAGATCTTAATGGTCAGATTGTGTTCAAATAAAGCATAGATTAACATCTAATAAAGCCTCAGACAGAAAAGAGCCTACAGTTAGCATCATACCTCCAGAGAATGTTGATGATATCAGCTGCAAAGTATCAATAATATGGGTTTCAGAATGATTTAAATAATATGAACAATTTAAAACAAAATATTATATCTTTTGAGATGAAAATGTTGCATGTAGCAGGAAACTGAACCCATCAATATTAAATCTTTTGGGGGAAAGATCACGTCCCTTTGTTGTCTGAAATCTTAATCATTTCACTTGAAACTTGAAAAAGCACATCTTAAGATAATCCACTAAATCAACATCTGTGAAGTTAAATTGTATTTGTAGTATTCACTGTGAAAACCTGCAATTTTTGTAGGAAATTATAATGCATTTGAAATTGTGACTTTTGTTATATTTTATTGTATTTGAATTTATATTAATAATGAGCTAAATTAGCACTGAAATGTAATTATAACGTAACATGCATTTTCAGTGTGTGTGGACCTGCCCCACTACAGATGGGCAATAGTAGTATAACTAAATCATCTTTTATTTTGTAAGATTAATGATTTGATGATGGTAGCTGACAAATAAAGAAAACTAAATTAGAAACACATCCATTGATATCTCATTTCCACCTGCATCACTGTAAACATCATCACAAAATACTGCTTTGTAGCTGGACCATGCTGACTGACAGATGGAGTTCAAATAAATACATAAAATACAAAAAATAAATAGGAATGATGTAAGCACAGTGCACCTATCACCTCAAATACCACGAAGATTGCTCAAACATGCATGAATCACTCACTTTGTTAGTAATAAGGGAGAAACCATTAGCCATAACATGATTAAATACTAATATGCCCTGTTTAAGTGCTACAGTAAGTCTTAAGTGCACACTGTTCAAGAACAAAGTGCAAGCATCAGGTACAAGTGGAAGTCTCAGGTGCATAAGTCTACTGGTTAAATAAGGATAGAGTTTTCAACGCTCCTACCTGTGGTCCTGTCTTTGAGAGCCGTCTTGCACATTTCTATTCTGGCTGAGTGGAATGGTACATAGCGGTCCTGAGGAGAAGCCACCAACACTACGTTCTTGAAAAACTGGAGCCCTGAAATGAATTAAAATTAATATAATAAAAAATTAAATGCAGCAATATGGTTAGCTCTGTTTAAAGAAACTGTATGTGGAACTGAACCTTGGTTGCCAGTGCCTTGACCTACATATAGAGGACACATACATGGCCGCCATGACCAGTGTGTTTCACTAACTAAGAATAAATCAGCATTACAACTGTTATTAGTAAGAGCTACAATTGATTTGAAGAGGTTTATCTTGTTATCACAATCTTACAGCACTTTGAATTGTTAAATTGCAAATGAGCTGCTTTAACAACACCCTGTAACTTGATGAAACAAAATGAATATGACAAACCTGGAGTTGTGTTTTGTACTTTTCAAGTTTGGTACTTTTCAAGTTAGCAGCTCCTTTTATTTGTAGTTTAGCAGAGATGGGCTTTCCATGGCTGAAAGTATCCAAATGATTCTAGTGAAGGTGTATGAAGTTTAAAAACACAGTGGAGCACTTCCTGTATTGCCCCCTGACATGACAAGGTTGAACACAGTGGTTTCTTTTTGAAAGAAGACCTCAGCCTGAATATGCAGGATATGTGTGTTAAACATGTGTGAATAAAACAAAACACAACTCCAGGTGTGTTTTGGATGACGAAACAACATTATAACATAGATCAGGAGTTAAGAGTAATATGGGCTTAACTAAAGTACTTTTGTAAGGGGTATCTGAGTTCTCTTATGCAAGTCCATGTAGCTAAATATACATCCATAAGAAACATCAACAAGAGGCCGACAGCGGTATATGAGTATGTGAGTGAATAGTTGTAAAATGTATAGTACGATCACATAGTACAATGACAGGGCATGGTGATAAAACACTGTTCTCTCTGTAGTCTCCTGTCAAGAGTGCTTTTAAGAGCGCGCACAAGTGGGTTCCCAATGACAGGGTTTGGATCATTTTGTCAGACTGCCACCGCTCTAGAGGAACAAAAAAAAAAAAACGCGAACGCTTTTCAGTCTTATCTACTCTGGTCCTATGTGACAAACGACTGCTTTGTTCCTCTGGCGCTGTGGGGAGGCCTCTCACAAGCCTGACGGAGCGCCATCCTCGTGTTTGACTGTTAGCGAGATGACATGTGAAAATTTTGGAAAAAGAAATAAAAAAACTAAGAGACTATTTCATGAATATTTGATCGGCCTGTGTGTGATGCGGTCGATATCACTTGGTTGTGAGATCAGGATGTTTTTTCTTTGAAGTACCTGGTTTTTGGCTGAGCAGGTAGAGGAATGTTTTCCGCGGGTCCACGTGATCTCGGAAGGTGAGCTGCAGCAGGGAGCCAGACTTTTTGAGCTTTTGCATTAGCCACAGGCCTAAAAAGAGACACAAAACATACATACAAATCAAATATATCCAACTAACTTACATGAGTATTTTAAAAGGCCTATTTTCTGATCTACATTATAATGCTGTTTACTCATCATCATCACCATACCTGGGATTTCTGTTTTGTTTCATGTATATATGTTTAGTTGTTTATGTTTTTAATCTCCATATAGCTTCACTAAAATCATTTACATAACATCAGCACTGCAATTGCCAATCTTAACCAAACAGCAGATTAAACGTAGAAGCTAACTTCAAACTATCTTTTAGCATTTAGCTTGGAGATGTACAGACAAAAATAAAGGATTATTCAAACAGCAAACATGTGTGAATGAAACAGAGTGCAGCTCTGGGTATGCATTTGTTGAAGTAACAACATTATAACATGACTTAAAGAGTCAAGTTTGCATAATATAGAACCTTTGAGGGTTGGGAACAATTGCTGCTATTGTCATTTTTGCATCAAAAGTTAAAGTACATGACAAGTTTTCATGTTCTTCTAATTATGACTTGGTTTGGTGGGATACAGCCTGTGGTAAATATTTATCACAGTTTTACATCAGTCTAGTCGCAGTTTGTAGGGAAAAAGTTCAACAAAAGACAGAAGTGCTAAGTTCTAAAATAGAATATCTCTGTATTCTCATCAACACCATAAAAACATCCCAGAAGCAGACGCAATTTACACACTTTTTTCTGACAGTTCAAACATTGATTTAAATAAAGGTGTTTTAGAATGTTCAAGGCACCTTGAGGCAAAGTGAAGCAGACATAATAAGTTTTCAGTGATGAACTGATTAATAGGTCTAAATGCTAATGATTTTACATTTTTTTGATTTTACAACATTATAACACAAAATAAACAGCCATTTAGAAGGTACAAAGTACTAATATTAGTTCATTTGCTTATCTGTTAAGAAGGATGAAAAAATCTGATCTCAAAATTGTACTTGAGATTCACAAAAAGTGGTAAACTGTGGTAAGTTCAACTTTTCTATAAGGATTTGTCTAGTAAAACCTAAAAAACTGTATTTTTCTTTTGTCAAAAATGCTTAGAGTCTTTCATAATCTTTTAGACTACATATTATGATGCTAACTTTGTTTTAGTGAAATGAGTAGTGCAACCTGTCAAATACACTTTAACTACTGCATGTAAAAAAAATGTATATGGTCACAACAATGGCTAACAAAAACTTGACAGCCAGATATCTAAAACTACAACTACTCTTGCAGAAGACTTGTGGCTGGATTGATGATACTAACTTTCTATTAATAAATGAAAGCTTTTTTCCCTTTCTAAATCTATCTTGATAAAAACATGCTGTACCAGTGAAAATATACAAATCAAAATCCTATGAAATATGTAGCAGGTATTGTATAATGCATGACTATTGAGTGAAGGCAGATAAAGCATTGCTCAGGAGTCGTGTATGCTGCATTGTGCATGTCTTGAATGTGCACAATAGGCTCTCCTTAACAGTCAGAGCTGCACCATTTAGGTAAAATATCTCACTGCAAGTTTTCTGACAAGCATTGTCATTGCGATTAGATTTGCAATTTAAGTTTTAATAATATGATTCTTTCTGTTCAAAGTTCACATTTTGACTGAAATAGCCGTACAGTTACAAAATAAAAGAATCACATGTATTTCAGAACATAATTGTATTAATCTAACAATTGTGTTAGCAGTTTTTATGCAAATTGAAAAGACAAGATTTTTTTATTGTAAATGGAATTCCAGCCTTTGCGATTTGCTAATCACATCATGATTTCAGTTAAATTATGTTTATTTTGCAGCCCTAAATTGTGTCCATTCAAATAGTGATTTTGATTGCTATTGATTTTGCAGGTGCTTACCAGTGCTGACCAGTGTGCTGTTGTTGTAGAGCGTTCCTAAGTGTGGGCCGGACAGAGACAGGAAGGTGTGCAGTTTGGGCAGATAGCAGCGAAACCTGGGTCTGGTGAGTACAGAGCGGATGATGATGTTCCCCAGAGAGTGACCGATGAAGCTGTAGACACAACACAAGCACCAGGTGAGAAGAACAACACAGACTCCTCTAAAGGGGCACTATGTAACTTTCAAAGGGAGCGTCCAAAACATTCTGTCTCCATGGAGATATTACTGTGTTGCTTGAAAGGACATAAATATAATATATAATGCATGTTCTAATGTTTTAGAACTTAAAATAAACACTATCTACAGAAACTAGACAATATGTTCCTACAGATGCACTCCCTATATGTGCATCTGAAGTTAGCACACCATCTACAGACAGCACAGGGAATGAACATGAAAAAAGCTGGGGTAACCTGCCTCACATGTGAATGAAGGCACACTGGTGACAGCAAAAACACTCAGAACTTAAAACTCTAAACAGTTCAAGAGTGAGCAATGTTATAACAAAGCTAATCACAAAAAAAAAAAAAAAAAAAAAAATTGCATCATATGGGCCAAAATGTATGTGGACTGGAGAGAAGCAGGTGACACTACCCAAACAAGTATATCTTTGTCATTAGACCACCAGTAAGTAAATAAATACAGTAAATAAAAATCAGTTTATAGCATATTGTGGAATATACCTAGTAGTGCATCTTTAAGTAAGGGGGTAATAATAGTCAAATAATTCTAAAGCCAAATAATTCTAAATGTAAAGCGGTTGGTGTTTTGAAGAAAAATATGTTCCAACTCTTCAGTTATTGTTGAGATGTTGTGTAAAGCAGAAGATAAGCAAGTTTACTCAGTCTGCTGCGATGTAACAATGTTTGATTTTCAATTTTACCAATTAATTACATCAACTAAGCCTATCAAAAGTGAACCAAAGACATCTCAACTGGCATGATTTCTACTTACAACACAACAACTCATTTGGCTCTATTCATTAACTTGAACACTCCCAAAGGCAATGATGCCAACAGTGGGAAATTTCATCAGAATTAATGGCTCTTGCAGATGCAGTGGGACAAACCCGATTCATGAAGCTTACTTTGTCACTTAGTTTAATTACTGTACTCTTATATCTCTACCCAGAATTCCTCACTGCCACGTCTGCACCATCTCATCTGCTGCCACCAGCCTAAATATAGAGCAGATGCTGGCGCGGCGGGCCATTGCGTCTTCTCTTTGAAACATGCACTCCAGGGAATACGCTACAATAAGGAAAGTTAACAAACTCGAGGAGAAAGTCTTAAAAAGTAAATTGGCACATAGAGGGCAATTAGGCAAGAAGATAAATGGCTTAATTTGTGTGGAACTCGCCGACGCTGCTCGATAAATGAGGAGGGTCTATCCAGTCACAGGAAGGGAGTTATTGGCATGCTAGTGACAAGACACTTTCTGACATGATGTATTTTAAATCTATGTATGCACCACTATGTAAGGTATACTGCATGTGTCATTAATACAACTCTTGTTAGACTTGTTATTTTGAACCTTTCACCAATGAGTACCTTCTTATCGATTTTCTGAGCTGTTATTCTGAAAAATAAATAAATAAACTATTTTACTCTGTGTTAGATTCCTAGTTTAGGAGTCTAGTATTAGATCAAAGTAGAGCAAAGTAAATTTCGAGGCCAGGACCTCCCAAAATAACTGACTCAAGACCCTCACAGCAAAACTGAATTAATGTGGGTAATAATTTCAATTTGAAAATCATAAAATAAGGTTTAATAGTGTTCACTTATATAGTTTATTATATTGTTGGGCTTTGTTGGGGTCCCACTGTATTAGAGCATTAGTACTTTTAATGATAAAAATATAGAGAGTAGTTGTATAGTATGACTGCAAAAATTGCCATCAAAGGTGCACAACTTTTCTGGGGGAGGGTTAAAATACAATAATTCCTTCTGTGAGTAGGGGTGACTCTCCACAGATCTGAATTGTAATGTAGCGTAGTGCTGTAACTTGCCCGTCTCCATCGTGATAGGAGTGTGGAACATTCAGCAATAACATTTCCATGGAGACAAGTTGGTGGCAAACCCTCCACTAGAAAGATTACACAGTGGACCTTCAATTATTCAACTTTATTTTTCTCTCATGTCTATTATATTTTCAAGTTACCAACAATGACATTTGGAAGTAACTTAATAAAAGCTTGTGATAAATCCAAATATATGAAATGATGGTAAAATTATCAGTAGTTACTCTATAAGGCTAATAATTAAATATAACAATACAATACTACTTTTATGTAATCTATTATTGAGCTAATTATCAGCCTGTGGATACTTATACATATAATACTGCATATTTATTTTACTTGATACTACCATGTTAGTGAAAAACATATTTACTACTGAATATAACTTAGACGCAGAGACTTAGAGGCAGATGTGAAAACACAATCCTACAGTCTCTGCTGCCCTCTGCTGTCCACATTATGCCTACTTCAATAAATGTCCCCCTCACTTCCACAGCCTTTTGTTGTTAGTGTGATGAAGCCTGACACGTCTCCTGACCTTATCCTTCCAATGGTGAGGTTGTACAGCTGTATGTGCTGTATGATCTCGTCCAGCAGCCTGTCCGTCATGGTGTCAAAATCAGCAAACGTGTCACTCTGCAAAGAAAGAGAAAGACCCCAGACTCAGCCTTCTGCCCAGCCTCCCCTGAAGCACGTGCGGCTCAAGATGGACGCTCATGTTGTCAATTTGCTCCAATCTGTGTCATGAGTCTGCCTTGTACGCACCTGGTTTCTCTCAGACATGAGGAAGTCCAGCCTGGAGCCGGGCAGGCCTAACTCAATAAAAGTCTTCACCAGTCGTAAGTCTGCGCTGTTTCCTGGAAGCACACAGGGAAGCAGCCACTCATTAGTAAGCTTCATAAGAGATTTTAAATACGTGCAAGTCAAAGAAAAAATGTTGATTATGAAATATATAATATGTGTTTTGATAATGAGAAGTTATAATAAAACAGAATGTGCTGCTGTGGATATAAAATAAACTTAAATACTGGTATTTATATTCTGGCTCATTTATATTTTGTTCTGAGCAAAATAACCCAAAATGTGTACTTCGTACACAATTGCCTGCTATCCTTTCTGATGCAAATTTGAACCAAACGCAGATTTACAAATACTAAACTACTAATACTACTAAATTGTAGTAATTTTACAAATGCCAGAATAACATCATCTGTACAGCCTATACATTTATATTATTACAGAGAACACTGATCAAAAGGTTGGTGGTTGGAACACTGTTTTGTGCCCTAGAGCAAGGCCCTTAACAAGCCACTGTATGTAAAGAGTTTTGAGTGCACAGTGGAGACTAAATGCATGTGGTAACAATTTATATCTCAGCTGTACATTCTTTAAAGAGGGCATTTTATTGCCTTTTCCAGTTATTTAGTTATAAACTAATCAGTACATCATCATTTTCATGCCCAGTCTACTAAAGCATGAGCACAATAGCTGTTATGTGATGGAGATACAGAGCACTCACCATCAAGCCCATGGACACACACCACCAAATGTATGCCATCCTCAAACTCCTCGTCGTCCTCTTCAGGCGGGAAGTAGGGCAGATCAGAGGCCAGCTCGGGGAGGTCACTGTACAGGCCGCCCGTGAAGCTCAGCTCATTCAGCAGGCCCTCTTTGGCTTTGTAGAAACTGTAAGAGAGAAAAGGACACAGAAACTGGTTTTGTTAGACTGAAAGAGAGATACAAACAAGTAGATCCATTTCAAGTAATATAATATAATAAGAATAGGCCCACAAATGCTTATGCTTATTTCCTCTGTATATTTAATACGACAGCTAAAGGTACATTATGTAACTTTTATGGCAGAGTCTGCTCTCATGGAAATGTGCCATGAGAGCAGACTCTCATTTGCTTGGAATATACCTCAATGTGTATTTGGGTATTTGCATTTCATTGTTTAGAGGTGTTTTTATTGCTCAAGAATGTATTCTTACTGCAAGCAGTCATCTCTCCATCGAAAATTTAACATGGCTTGCTAGCGTCACTTGCTTATTTCCATGGAGATAAATAGTTTTAATGCCTTATTGTGGAAGATTTCAGATAAATCTTAAAATGTTGCCAATCTGTGTGATTTTATGCATGTTTAATGATATTCTACAGCGTAACAATACTCTTCCTTGAGTAAGCTTTGTCTAGACTAGGAGTGGCAAAAGTTTTATACTGACACTTGCTGAATATTTGTGTATCTTGCACAGATTCTCCAAATATGGTATAGTTTTGTTGCCTTTCCTGTATAAGAGATGAGACATTTTCTGCAATATTTCATATTTTGTCCATCCAGGTAACTTTTAATTGTGTAAATCAGATAAATCAATTGTATCCAGATTGTCATACAACTCTTACTTGAAACATATCCTCAGTTTCCCCAGATACTTCTTTACTTCTATTTGCGTAAGTTCTTGTACCATTACTTTGTACTTATACATTAGAAATAGTATTATTCTGAAGTAACAGTGCACTATTTGACCTCTTCACCAAACTCTGATCTTTAGTAGGATAGCTCTATTCTTGCCATTTCTGTGTTTGAATGCTCTAAAGACTGGCCAGTGGTGACAGAAGCTGTGGTGCATTGTCTCCAAAAGCAGCTGTGCAAAGTTTTACAGGGCTGTGTGTCAGAGGACCAGGTCACACGGTTGAACCACAGGGCAAACAAATCTGACTCTAACTGGCACACTTACCCGCTAGTCATGATGGATTTGTGCACTCCTATGATGTGCTTTAAAACACCTTATCTCCTCTAACTCTCTTTTTTCCATAAATTTGCCCTCAATTCATTTTGGGATGTTCCACTTTCAGGCTGTGAGTCACCTGGCTCTGTCTGAGGTTGTTCAATCTACTGTGAATTGGATTTCAACTATGCAGCACATAACAGATAACATCCGGAGACAAATTATGAAACATGTTGATCTTCTAGGTTGAAAAGGGGTCGAAATGTGTGATGTAGCAGATTGTCCCTTGGTTTTGGTAGATACTGAAAGTTAATTTGGGTTTTAGTAACATGATGATGTATCTAATAAAATATTAGCTACTGAACTACCCAAATTTTTTGAGTAATTTGCTAGTCTTCAGGTTATAGACACATTTTTTTTGTCTCATTTCCAAATCCATTCTTTTTTTTAATCTATATTGTTTAGTTTAAACGTGTCCTGCTGATTTTTTAAAATACTCTATTGTTTAATCTATTGAATTTGAATATTAATTTGCTTATTTCTTTTCTTTTTACTGTTTAAACTGATTTATCCTTCTTCCAAATGTTCCCTGGGTATGCATTAATTGGCAAACCTGGTGGCTTTTAAAGTTCATGTCATGAAAAAATTTTGGTAAAATAGTAAGGCTACATGTTAACTTGCCTTCTTTTATAAATATTTAAACAGCATCTCATTCATTTTTGGTCCTTTTTGTAATTATTTCTATTCCCGTTTAATTCCATTTGCCTCATGAAACTCACTTCAGCATTCGCTCATTGGTCTCCTCATCCATGTTCAGCGGGTTCATTGAGTTTGACGAGATGATCCCGAAGGAGCCCAGGGGCTGATGGGTAATTGGTGAGGTAGCTTGGCGAGCAGACATGCCACTGATGGACGGCGATTCTCTGAGAGCCGAGGAGAAGGGCAGGCATGTGGGCGCGCAGGACACGGACATGTTAACCACCTCCACCATCTTCTTATTCACAAACGCCAGGCCAGAATTGGGGATCTTGGCCTTGTTTTGCCCATCTAAATGCCCCTTCTCTCCGGTTAGAGTACCATTTAGCTGCGGAGATGACTTGACATTGGCATTACTGAGCCCTGTCAGTTCTGTTGGTGTCAGGGTGGTGGCGCTGTTGTGTCTATGCTCACTGCTAGACTCCTTATACTCAGCGTCAAGCAAATTAGACTCGCTTAAGCTTTTGCGATCGTTTCTTGTTCTAATATAGTCCTTCTGTACACCCGTATTCTCTGCTCTTAGTTGGTTTAAAGCTCCATTCGTTTCAATAAGATGCACATCTTCTACTGACGCACTCCCTTCACTTCTGGTTCTCCAATTTACCACGTTAATAGCCTGATCTTTAGCGCCATCTGTGGATTCTTGTAATGACAATTGCTCCTTGACATTTGAATCTGAGTTAGTCGTAGTTTGCTGGTGATCTGAATGACTGACTGATACATCCAAACTAGAATTATCCATGTGCCCATCTAAAAGTGACTGATCCGATTGCTCTGGATCCTTATTGGAGCAAATAACTTCACCTGACGGTAAATTTTTATCCACGATTTCTTCTGGACTATTTATTTGCGGTGCGGACATGGATTTCGTCAATTTTCTTAGCTGCCTGTGCGGATCCTCCTCATACGGCAATGAACTGATAGAATTCAACGAAGCCTGAATGCCTGCACTCGGGATACTCCCATTGCTTTCCATTAAGAGCCCTTCCAGAGAACTCCGATGGATTGGAAGTCTCGAAACGATCTGTTGCGGAATTTCTCGTTCACTGGAGAAGTCCGAAGGTTGAACAATTCGCAAAGATTCTACGGGCCACGCGACGGAACTGGGCTCGCTTTCGATACCTGAGTCGGAAATGACGGACGAGGAGCGCTTGATGAACTTTGATCCCATGAGACTACTTCGGAGAGTCAAGTCCTTACGGAAATCTGGGGTAGTGGAATGAGGAGTTTGTATAGTTAATAGTGGGACATCTTCTGAATCATTGTCTATAGATTGGTGTAAAGGCATAGCAATATCGGATTCTTCGTCATTTGCTCTGCTTTGAAGGGAATTCATACTTTTGGACACAAGGTTGCTACTACTGTTTTCTTTCAACTCTTCAATGCTATTTTCGGTTTCTACTTTTTCTGTATGTGAAGCTTCAGTAACATGGCTAGTAAAATTGAGGTGGTTGTTTCCAGTTTGGCTCTGCTCAGCCATCAGGGACACGTAGGCGGGCAGATCCATGCTTTCTTCACTGTCTGCTGGGTCCTGGCCCAGTCCCGGTGGCCTATCTCCGCGGTTGTCTTCAAAGATGTCAGCCGGATGGGACTTCTTCGGCTCCTTGTTTAGCTTGGGCTTTTCTGAGAGCCAGTCTAGAAAGAACAGAACAAGGAAGCAACAAATTAAGTTCAAGATCAATATGTGTATTTATTCCCTGTGGGTAATTTAGAGCTACCAGTTAAGTCTTCAGACAGTGGGTGGAGAATAGGAGTTAGTATTTATGTGGTATTGGTGTAAGCAAAATGTAAATCCAAAGCAAAATTTGATTTGATTATGTTTAAAGGGTATTTTCTGATCTGATTTTTCTGATGAAACAAAACAGCTCCAGGTATGTTTTTGAGAAGGAACTTTTTAACAAGACTTAAGCTCACAAAAGTCAATTTGTGAATATAAATTTGCTCTTAATGATTTGTCTGGTAAAATAAAGGTCAAACAAATACATAATCCCACCCAGACAAGGGGAGACACATTCTGAACTCTGCGCTGAAAGGCTGGGTGGGGCACCAGATGATCATTTGTAATGGTAAGAAAAGCCAGTGTCCTAAATAAGCTATTGATATTCTTAGTCTCAAAATTGACACTAGTCCCAAGATACTGTTTATCTAACTCTATCACCATAACCTTGTCAACAGTGCACATTTTGCAGTCCCTTATCAAACACTACAGGCCAGTTAAATCTTGTGATATCAGCAGTAATCTAGAAATACAGGTAGGAACTTTTGTTTGTAAAATGTCCCTACAGTTTTTTCACTAGTGGCCATCTTAAACAAATACTGGTTGTAAACGCTAAATAATGTTATAGGTTTTTCATAACAGAATAAGTGTAGTATATTGTCTTGTATATAGGATTCTAAGCCTATTTATCAGCCAGTTATTGGTTGCATAACTTAACTTGCTTCACATCAGCCAAAAGGTTCCCATGGCACACACAGAAAATATCAAACACAGAAAGTTATCTTGTTAAGAAAAGAATATGTATTACTGTGGAGTTTACATAAGAAAATGACTTATAGCAGAGTCTTATAGCCGGGGGTATCAACATCTTGAAATCCCATTGCTAATAAAAGTCTACTCAAGTTATGTTTAATGAAGAACAAACTAATACAAGTGAGCATAATAAAGCAGTACAAATAGGTTGATATCAAGGGAGAGCTGAGAACATTAAATGTCAGAGACAATAAAAACAAGAGCATTATGTTGAAAATGTAGGCAATGTCCTGTTTTATGAACCATGTTTTAAGCTACAAATGTAGCTATGAGCATCAAATAAACACTTTTTTTTTTTTGGTGTTGCCACCAGTATGTCACTGCTAGCAATAATAATATACTACACCCTAATCTCAAAAGATCAGTTGTAATTTATTTAAACTGCAATAAACAAACTATTGTATTTTGCAAATGTCCTACAAACAACAAACCATCCCTTATGTTCTCTACACATATGTTCTGAAATGCAGGTGATTCTTCTATTCATTTAGCAGTTTATGTTTCAGTTTTCTTTAACTCCCTGCATGTGTTTAAAGTGATGATATGTAACTTTCTGGGTATGGAAAATCAACTGCATGATTCCATGGGAATATTAAAACCATACTAAACCATATACTAAATTATGATACTTTTACTGTTACAACTATAAAGACAGATTTTTTTTTTTTTTTGCACCTGTGACTGGCAACTCCACATATCTGTCCTCAAAGATGATGGGCAGGCTGTTCCAGTCTCCATCGATGTCCAGGCACTCGACGGGTAAAGGAGGCATCTTGGTCAGGTACTCGGAGCTGCGCACCTCTGCAGCGATCTGTCCGTGTCTGCTGATTCTAAAAGGGAACAGCCTGTGCTAAGTGCATTTCATGATGAAATCATTTCATGTATAGTCAAGTTTCAACGTACAGTTCTTCTTGAAATGTCAGTGATAATTCTTTGGGATGTTCAGTGAAGAAATATGCTTCAGAAAATCTTCTCACCTGAAATCATAAAACAATCAATACAATTGAAATGTAGCCAAGGTAACTTGGCTGACTCAACTCAATCTTCAGTGAAACACTATATACATACACATTAATACTTATCAATTATATCAGTCAGATGAAAAATGCTAAAAGCATACTAGTGGGTCACTAAAAGTTACAAGATATACAGTACATTTCTTAAATACAATCCCTACACTTGTGTTTTTAAACCAGCAGGAGTGGATATTTATAGACACAGAAATCTGCATATTTTCTCAGTCACAATAGACAGAGCAGCAGTTGTATTGGTTCTCCCCATGACAATTGCAGAGTAAGTGTTAATTGAAATCCTGGCTCCACTGGTGGGTGGAGGCATGATAATACCCTGGAGGTAATAGAATACCAAAGCAAACATGTTCATGACTATCAGACCACAGGGACCAAACTGCAGTCAAAGAGAGGCAGTCTGCTGTGGTGACTGTGAGGACTGCACTTTCATATTTCTATTACCCAGACCAGTGATTAGATTAGAGACAGAAAAAGAGATGATATTTGCCCACTCATGTGAGATTAAGCAGCTGGCAGCAAAGAGCCACAGCTAAGTGCACCGCTAATTCTCTGTAAGGTACTTTCTTTGTGTCAATCCCAATGGCAATTTTGGCTTGTACCATTGTAAATATGGATGGAGCAGATCATCTGTTGTTTGTTGGATTATAGAAAAAATATGGATGAATTGTAAAACTATTCCCTGTATTTTCTTGTTTTTCAATTCCTTTTTATTATTAATTAGAAAAACAATTTTAGTCACAGTTAAAGTTAACTAAACTGCACAACTTTCCTGATGTTATTCATAAACACTTGCAAGGATTAAAAAAAATAGAACTAAAATGTATAAACAAATATATTTAATATATATTCAAAATATTTGGGGTCTGAATTGACAAGCATGTAATATATGAACCATATATTCCTTAAAATCACATTCTTATAGCCAGATTGAATCAGCAGCCTAGCTACACCGTATACACCTCCTGTACATATGGCTGTATGCATTGGCATGTATATGTGTTGCTGCTGCCTCCCCTCTCACTGCTTCTCACCCTGAGCGTGTGATGCTCCTGGGCCAGGTAGGACAGAATGTGTGGGTTCACAAGCACCGCCTCCAGGAAGTGGCTCCACAGAGCAGTGAGCTCAGAGCACAGATGGCTCACGTCTCTGCTGATCTGCTCGGCCACCTTCTCATGGCCCTCCTGCAACTGAAGACAGCATGTGTTCAATCCTAACCTGCTCACTCGGACATTTATATATCAGGTTTAAAAGAATCTTTGTTACTTTAGTTGGATTATAAGACTTACCAACGATTTTGTTTCCCCAAATCTGTATTCTTATTGGTTACGTTGGACCAACCTTAATCTTTCTTAAGCGGCTTTATTCCCTGATTGTCAAATTACAATTCTGGACTTGCAACCACATTGGGTATTGCACCGTGAATGTCTACAGATACTTAATTTCTACTTAACTGAAGTAAATGTACAGTCAAAAGCTTTAATGTTATAGTAATATATAAGTATTGTATAGTAATTAAAATAAAATATAATGACCCACCTGTAGTTCTATTGTGAGCTGGTTTAAAGTTTCATCAACAGGCAAAGGTTCTGTGGGAAAATTTATATATTTAGGTTATGATAAGGGAAAACTGTACCATAATCTAATCTAGTTCTGGTAGTTACCCAATTATAAACCCTGTACCCAATTTTTCTGCAACAAAATTATTTTACCCCAATATAGATATATTGTATAAGCAGTTACTGAGGTCAAAATGTGTTTACTTTGTCTGCATCTAAATAGAAAGCATTTTATTGTCAGATAATCAGGAAGTATGCATTAGCATGTAAGTGAGGAATCAAATGAGACTTTTCAGTAGCCATGTGCTAACCTGTGTGCATGTGTCTCTGACCTGGCTCTAGCGGCGTCTGCTGGAGCTGGGGGACCTCCTTCATGAGCGCTGTGTGATACGAGTGCAGTCCCCTGTGAGCGGCCAGCAGGAGGCGGCAGAGTCTACGGTGCCACGTGTGAGCCCTCTGTGCACAGCTCTCACTCGCCACATAAAAGCTCCCCTGCATGAGAAGAAGACGGAGAGAGGGAGAGAGATAAGGAAAAGAGAGGGAGAGAGAGAATGGCAAAGAGAATAATGGAAAGAAAGAGATTGAGAGAATGCCAGAAAGAAAGACATATAGAGAGAGAGATGTAGAGAAAAACAATGAAGAAACAGAGATAGAGGGAGAAAATAACAGAAAGAGAGAGAAGTGAGAGTGAGAAAGAGAGAGAAAGATGGAAAGAGACATTGAGAGAGAAAAAGAGAAAAACAGAATGAGACAGACAAAGATTGACAAAAAAGGAAAAAGATGGAAAGAAACAGAGGTAAATGGAAAGACAGAGAGAACGATGGAAAAAGAGACATTGAGAGAGTGAGAGAGAATAATGGAAAGAAAGAGATACAGAGAAAGAGGTAAAGAGAGAGAGAATGACAAAGAGAGAGAACAATGAAAAGAAAGACAGATAGAAAGAGCGGGTAAGAGAGAAAGAGATAATAACAAAGAAATGGAATGATGGAAAGAAAGAGAGAGAAGAGGCAAGAGGGAGAATGATGGGAAGATAGAGATAAGGAGAGAAACAGATAATGACAGAAAGAAAGAAATAGACAGTTGGGAATGAAAGTGGTAGAGAGAGAGAAAATGACAATGACAGCAAAGATACAAAGAGATAGAGAAAGAGTGAGAGACAGAGAGAGACAGAAAGAAAGAAAGAGAGTGAAAGAGATAGAGAGAGAGAAAGAGCAAATGTCAAATGAGTATGTAGGTTAGTGGAGGAGACTCTGGAACATATTTGAACCTTACAGTCTGCATGGACATGTCACTGAAGCTTTAAAACTAGACACTTTTAGTAGGCTGTGCAGTGGTGATAATTAGGAAGAAGATGAGACGGGCCTCTGGACACAAATGGGCTCTAAACACAGCTTGGAGAGACAGTAAAGGCCGTTCAGTGAGGGGAGCTGCCGAAGGAGGATGTTACATATCCCTGTTTAAAGGGTTTAAACTAGCACCTCTGTGGTTTATGTGCTGCTATGAAAATGTATCTAAGCACAGAAGGCTTGTTAGTTTTCATAGCGCTCTGACCAAGTCTGGAGTGATTTATTATTCAATCAACATAATTTCAGTCAGAAAAAAGTGTGACATGAGGTTACAAATGCTTAAAAAATATGTTTTTGTTCTGTTTGTAATTTTTTCTCATTGTATTGAGGAGCAGTGCATTTGAAAGAACTAATTTAAAAGAGAGACTGCTAACATAGTAGAATCACATGTTAAGTAGGTTTTATACATAAGTTTCCTGGCAAATCCAGAATTATATCTCTCTGTCACAGTCTATGCACAATTCTCTCATACATAACATTACAGTCACAAGCTAGCATTAGCCAACAGTTTTTCAGTTTGTCACTCTCCCCATGAACCATAAACACTCGGTTCACTGGTTCCTGAAAATGTGTTCATTTGAGTTCTATGGGATCATTTAAAGTTACTGCCATTATTGTAATCATATTGCACAAAAGCACCATTACAGTTCTTACACACTCCTCCAGATCAGCAGGCAGGAGAAGCCCATCTCCTGTCTTCACAGAGCCAGAGCAGCTCCATTCATCACTCATAACACAGACAGAAGAAGAAGAATGTGGAGAAGGACCCTTGCAGCTGGAGGCCCAGTGAGAAACACTGAACACATGCAGCTAAGAGGAGCTCTGTCAAACTATATCACCGCCGTAATCTGGACAGCAGCCTCTGCCTCTGAAAACACAAACCCAGGGCCTTAAAGTGTTAAAGAGGTTCAGGACATCCTGCTGTCCGAGGCCATGGACCTGACCGAAAAGAATGAATGGCACCAAGAAACAATATGTCTGACTACTCTAACTCCATCAGCGAGGAGATAAGGCACGTCAAATTGGACTACGGAGATTCTCTTATGCATGTGGAGCAGGATGATGGCAGCCTCTCCCACCACCTGTTTGACAGGAGTGACCAACAAGATCAAGTCTTTCTTCACGTTGTGCTGTTGTATCCTCTTTCCACACTTTACTGAGCTGCCTGTGCTGTGGGCCCAGCCCTCATTATGAAGAGATCCTATTCATGAGAGAAACCTCTGATGTACTGAAGGTGTTGATTAATGAGGAGGAGGGTGTGTACCAAACACTGCACCGAATCAACCAGGGACAGTTCAAATGGATGCACAGGCGGCACACTGGCATCACCTGATTCTGCATCATCAACAGGTCCCTAAAAGAAGTAAGCCCACAGTTAAGAGAGTGCATCCAGACAGCATTACAGGCTTAGATGAGACATTTCTCTAACTGGCTTCACATGCAGATGGAGCTGCAGGCACAGCTCCAGACCCAGTAGAGAGAGCCTTGAAGAGGATCTGTAGACTGGTCTTCAAATTGAACACACCAAGACCCCAGCTCAGAACACAGTAGAGCCAGTCCCAGTGCCCCCTTCAGAAGTCCCACTCTTTCTTCAGACTTCTTAGGCCGTTCAGGAGCATGTGGTGCCCGCAGAGATGCAGGCTGAAGCTTCAGTGCTCCATCCAGATGTGCCCACAGCTCCTACATCAGACAAGACGCACCCCCGACCGGGTACTGAAGCAGGGATGACTGCCAAGCACTACTGAATGATGTCACCTTTAGGATCTTCCAGAACAAATGGGACCTTGCCATGGGGCCTCTGTCCCAGGATCTGCTGGCACAGCTAGAGGAGAAAGTGTCATGGTGGAACACTGTCATGAAGCTGAGCGGATGCAGCTATGAAGACGTAGCCTCTACTGTGTACAGAGCTGTGCAAAGGACAAAAGAAAAATCATGTGACCCACACTGCTCTGGTCCAAAGAGGCTTCAGCTCCAAGGTCCTGGACGCTGTCCACTGCAACATGGTCATGCCCCAGAAGAAGAGACGCTCCCTGTGCTCTTTCTTTAACTCATGGAGGGAAAAAAAAAATATTTCCAATGCAAACCAGGATACCATTTCATAATCCGAAAGTTTATGTGAAGAGTGTTCACACTTTTCCAAAATAACTTTCACAGTATGGCATTAAATCTCCATGGAGAGAAGCATTTGACGGTAGCAGGCCAAGTTAGAAGTCAAATTTGTGAAGACGTGACACCACTCACATTTAAACTTCTAATTTAATAAAGGTTGTTAAATACCATACTCTGGAAACAAAACAGTGATTAAAAGAAGTACTATTATTTAATGTTAAAGATGACATTCTACTTTTTAAAATTATCATCATGGTATCAGAATCAGTATCGAGTATCTATTTCTATTCTATTCCTTAGTATTGAAATTTAGTATCGTGACAAAACTATTAATTAGTGCACCTTTAATATATACTGTGCTTTATCCTCAAGTAGATTGTCACTTTTTCTTCCCTTCCAGACCAGTGCAGTATGTTTGTTATGCAGTAGATGGCTCCCTAACAAAGCTGTTGAACACAACGCTGTCTCTAGACCCCCCCGCTAATCATTTGTGCCATCTCTTCTGTTACACTCTGGACTTGTTCTTAAGGCCGTGTTGTTTTGGTTGCACGGTGCGAGTTCAGGGTTCCAAAGGCATGTAGTGTCACTAGCTGCAGGCGAGTGGAGTGTCCAGCCCTATCATCAAGGCGGTGTGCACCCTGTAATTGCACAGGAGAGCTCTACCTACAACCAGGAAGGAACATCTGTGTGTTTACTTTCATAATTCTCCTCTGCTTTATGGAAGTTGCTCTGTCAGGCAAGAAAAATAGCTATTTTTGTGCAGAAACTAGTTATTAACCTGAATCCTTAATTTCTCAGCACTGACAATGTTTCTGAAAACTCAAGGGTACGTTTTTTAGTGGCCATACACATTTTTAATGCCAATCTTGTTTATTCTCGGAAGTTAAGGAGGTTTGCCCCTAGTTAGTACTTAGGATGGAAGATTGCAGCGAATAACAGATGCCACAGTGGGGCAGCTGTGGCTCTAATGCAAACTAATGTTCTAATGTGTGTTGTTGTGTCCTTAGGCAAGACACTTCACAAATCTTGCCTAGTGTCAAAGAGTGATTGATGGTTGTAAGGGCCAATAGCTTACCACCAATGAATGAAGCCCCATGTCACACTGCTTACTGTCTTGTACTATAATTTAATATTGAAAATGACAGTCCAATGAGGTTCATTTGGTTTTTTGATCATTTATGTTATTAGTTTTTTATATTTTGTTTTTTTTTTCAGTCCAAGAGTTTGTTTTATACCTGACTGAACATGTCACAGCAAGATCACATGACCACTCTGAGGAAGACCGCTATTGAGCAGTCAAAACTGTCAGGTATGAAAACAAACTCTTGGTCTGAAAAAAGAACCTATGGTAATAACATATATTGAAAATTACATTCCACATTCCTCCATTGTATTGGAATCGGTATTGTGTATTAAATCTATTCCTTAGTATGTTATGAAATTAACTAATAACTCCCATTTCTCACCACTGCTCACAGCCTTGTCTAATAACACAAATGTAAATTTTTTATTGGTTTAATATTCCCACTGTGATTATAATTGCCTAATTATGTGACTCAAGCATAAAACAATAAGGTCGTTAAATGCAATTACAGAAGCAATAGTCAGAAGTTACACATGGTTATCTATGGAGCACATAATCCCTCACGATTCAATACAATACTCGATACATGGCTCACACACAATACAAGCCAATATGGACTAAACCAACTAAGTAACCATTAAAACTGAGTATGTCAAGTGTATCTCTAACAAGTTTATTTTCTCTGAACAAACATCAAAACTATAGCAGTCATAAAATAATGTAATAAATTGGCAATCTTGGCAATATATTGACACAGCAGTCCACAATAACAATACTGTATCACCAAATTTATCATCACAATCTTTCAATATTTTAGCACACCCCTAATGCACAGTATAACTTCCCTTTTCAAGAGCTACCATCCAAACACATGACCTTGTACCAGTGAAGTAGTGGATACTCTTTGGTCATCTGAAGTTGTTGTAAATCTGCTATGTAAATAAACTTGAACTGAAATGAATAGTTAGAATTCAGTTGCAGAGTTCTGAGTTTGGACACTTCCTGTTTCTAATCCTAAATAAACACATAGGATTGTGCCAGGGCATCTTGCTTTTCTAAACTGCACATGATAGAGTAAAATAGAGCAGCCAATGATAACAGAAGACTTTTTTTATATTTTTACTTACACTACTCAGGCCTATCAGGATCTCAGGAACAGGACCTCAAATTTTAAAGTGCTATATATTGTTAAACCAAATATAGATGACATTGGAGCCAAACTATAAAGCAGAATTATCTCCCAGAATATATTCTTAATGGACAATATCGTTAAAAATATTAACTGCAATACATAAAAAAGAGAACACTCGAGTAATTAAGTTTGTATCTATAATGAGTCATGAAAGTTATTTATTCAACCTCTACAGCTCAAATATTATCACAGTAAAAAATAAATAAATAAAATAAAATAAAATGCAAAGAAAATGTGCCCATGATAAATGTTGGCCCCCAAAATGTATTGTTCCATCTGTCCATGAGTCTAACACAGTGTTTCTCACAGGTTTATACTAAGACTATGGTGAACGGTCACACTTTTATACTGCGCTTTTTCCTCCTTCAAGGCATTGAAAGCGCTTTACATCAAGGAACCACTCACCCATTCACACACAGATTAATACACCAGTGTAGGCAAACACTGAGGGCGAGGTTGGTACAGTGTCGCGTTACAGCATTCATCTGTGGGAGCTTCAATCGCCGACTGCTTTACCAATTATATTTTTTTATGTCAAGAGTGGGATTCGAACGGCCAACCTTCGGATCAGTAGACAAATGGTCTACCAACTGAGCTTCTGTTGCCCTACAGGTAATAAAAATGGTGGTATAAGCAACTCTACTGAACCAAAAAGCACTGATTGTAGATCAAAAATGTGTATGTTTATGTTTATGATAACATTACAAGCATAAAGTAATCATTTCGTTTGTTCCGTTTTAGACTATGGGGGGCACCATAAGTCTCCTCTATTAATGGGGAACACTGCTAACATTACTAACAGAATTTGATTATGGTTTTCAAGTTTGACCAATATTGTAAACCATCACATCATCATATAATATGTTCTCAGAAATGAAAAAAAAAAAAAAAAAAGAAGCTATCTTCAGAATCACTTTCCCTTCCCAAGACCCCACACTGAGCTAGTATATGCTCACACATTTTTACTTAACATTGGAGTGGCATTGTGAAATTATAGCCACAGGTAAACAAAAGTCTTAAAATAAACATGAGGGAAGAATGCTCTACCTGCGTGCACTTGGGCAAGGTACGTGGCAGTGAGGGAGCGAGTCATTAGGGCGATCAAACGTACCCCCCCGCCTGGCTAAACATGCAGCCTATTAAAGTGCACAGTGAGGGGTGGGAGTAACAACCAGGAGCAGAGCCTGGGGGGCACTGGTCCACGCTCATTAGCAGTTACTGTGTACTCGGTTACGTCCGCTCTGACATGGAATTTAACAGGGATACGGGAGGAATATCTCGGGGACATTGCAGAGAGGGCAGTGTAGGGGGGGAGATCAAGACTTCCATGGAGGTACCACACAGGGCTACAAGAGTAATTGCAATTGAAATTTGAATAGTCACAATTAGCAAAATGCAGAGATGTAAAGATCACAGTAATTCCTCTGAAAACAAAAAAAAAAGTTTCTTAAAAACCTGTTAAACCTGTATTTCACAACCCTAACAACATGTTCTGAAATCTATGATTCTTGTACTAGTTCATCTGTTGTGATTTCAGTCTTCTCACAAATGTTAAGCTCCTGGGTGTCTTTAAAATATATAAACTTTCAACTGAATTCTTGAATTCTGAAAACAGAAAACAAATGTAAATTGTAAAGCTTGTCAGAAAAATCTCAATATGTTTTTTTGTTTTTTTTCACAATTGTATCAAATCAAGCTTTCTTCCATGAATTCAAACCAGACGTTTATATTAATAATGCCAACACTTCATAAAGTTTAAGATTAAGTTACATTACATTATCCATATGAATGCTGCATCTACACTGAAGAATGAAACAAAGACTTTGTTCCCAGAGGGAAATTTTAACTCTGTATTTGACCCATCCCTCAATTTATCAGAAGCAGTGTGCAGTCTGCTACAGGGTGCATCTCTTTGGTTTCCTCTCACTATCATTCCTCTACATTTCCCCTGGTGAATCCATGAAACTTTGACTGACTGAAAATGTCTCCTGCAAGGCCCAGAGGTACTGGGATAGGTCATCGAAAACACCCAAAACAAAAACAGAAGAAAATAAATGATTTGCAACCAAGTTAAAAATAGAAAGCTAACCTTTGTTGGATATTTCTTTGTATGTAATTAACTTTTAATCAAAACTTTACCTATGCCATTGTAAGATGTGTAATTTGCTGAGAAAAATGGGTCTAATTACAAAAGGCAACATCCAGAGGGGCATTACACATAAAACCGTTTACTGCACTAATTATTGAAGCTGTGCACAGCAACAGCATTCTCATGAAATAATAAAGAGTTCAGTTTTGAAGCTAAAATCATATTCATGTATAAAAGCTTATCTTGATTAAAATCCAATTTTGGTACAATACAAGAAGTAAAATCATTTGTTAATCTATGATGAGCCAATATGGCAGCAATTCTACAGCTCAAGGCTTTTACTATACTGGAGACAAGGCAGAATTTTATGGTAGGATTTGCTGTAAAACTGTCAGATTGCAGATTCACTGACCTGATGTATGGCTAATACCTCTGTGATTACTGAGCATATCCACATAAAGTTTCAATTTCCTTTGAGATCAATAAAGTACCTATCTATCTATCTATCTATCTATCTATCTATCTATCTATCTATCTATCTATCTATCTATTTATCTATATAACTATCTACCAAAAAGACAAACACACAAAGTTCAAAACTTCTCAGCACAAATAAACAAAAGTGATATTTTGAGTTCACAGTAACTAAGTGATGACCATATTCATCTCAAAAATGCATCGGTTGAACTTTAAGTCATAAAACTAATGTTCAATTTTGAAGCCAATCCAAACAAATAATCATGAGGTTCAACATTTGTGGGTCATAAGTTTGGATATTGTCATAAGTTTGAATACTACTATACTAATACTAATAGAAATGATCAGGTTCAACACTTTAGCATTTACCTTTTTAATAGGACACTGGCTCTTGCCCCCCCTCTGGAAGTACTGCATCACCACATTCTACAATCTGAAAACTACCCATGAAAAATATCATGGTAGCTTTCCAATAAAATGTTAACAGACATGGCAATTAGAGAAATCCTCTGTTCCCAAAAGTTCACCACCGAATCATCTGACATTTCATCTGTTATAATGTGGGATGATTTGATGCCATTTTCTTTTTTTAGAATGGCCCCTGACTCGGTGCACTGGTCCCTAAATGTTAACGTACCTCAGAGATGACAGGTTTGCAGTACCCAGCTCCAAACACCAGGTTTTCTAAAGCTGATGCATCTCCTGTGCTCTCCGGTGAGCCCTTCCCCAGCCAGGAGCTCTTCCCTGTCCTTGCAAAGCTGTAGGCGGCACAACATAGCATCAGTGTATGTGTGTGTGTGTATGTGTGTGTATGTGTGTGTGTGCATAATCAATAGAGCACTGTGCTAATCTATATAATGCAATGCTAAACTATTCATCTCATAAGCGTTTAGGGATCAATGCATTCAGCAGTTAACAGATGCTTGTAGTACTCCCATTTACTTAAGTACATTTACTGTAGTAACGTTAATACATGTACATCTTGGAGTACTTTCGTACTTTTACTTCTTCATAAAATATTTTCAGTGTAACAATAATCTTACTTCAAATATGATGTACTAAAGTTATGATTTTGTTTCACATTTTTGTGGTTTATCGTTTGAATATTGAATTAAGTTAATTTTATATTTTCTCCTTTCAGTTACATTAAATTGGGACTAAACTGTAAATTAACTAAACTGTGCACATGGTATTTGATAGCATTTCCTGCTGTTCTTGGTAGTTTTTTGGTAATTTAAGTGCAAACTAGAGAAATGTGAAACTTGAATTGCGGTTGTGTGTTGTGTTTTGATGTTTAGCCCCATTTTAAATTCATTAACTTATAAATCTGATGTCCAGCCCAACTTTTACAATCAATTTTACTTGAGTAGTAGTACCCTAAATACTTTTACTAGGGTAGTAGTATCCCAAATACTTTGAACACTTTGAATAACTTCCTAGACTACTACATTATACTTCAACTCAAGTAATATTTTGAAGTAACGGTCATCTTACTCGAGTATTCTACCCTTCTGAATATGTGGTGTTACCTGATTAGCGGTTGATGTAAGGCCACCAGTGAAGCGTGGATGGAGACGGAGATGACAGAGAGGTGGAAGTAGTCGAACATGACGGGGACGTGGTGGTGGAGGCCTCTGCGAGGATGGAAGTGCAGGCTGAGGGTGCGGGAGCTGATCAGAGGCACGCTCGCTATTTCTGCTAACCTAAAATAACACAACACAATGCAGTGACCAACCTGCAACAATGTAAATGTGCTCAAGTTAGCTGATTTTCATTGGTAGTTTCTTTGGCAAATGTCTGAGAGAATCTTAAAGGTACTATATTACGCAAAATATGTTTAAGCCAAGTTTCAGTGCTGTTTTTACCTCCTCAAAAATATATCTGGAGTGTTCTTTTGTTTCATTCACACATGTTTGAGTAACTCTTTATAATCAGTCTGTCTACATCTTCCAAGCTCGAAATTATAAGCGTAATATGGTCCCTTTAAAAGTGAATCCTATGCTAATGTTATGTCACATTACTGTTTCAGATGACATCACACTATTTCAAATCCCTTATAAACCAGATTCATTACATTAGCTACAACGCAATTTCAATGGGGGAGTTAGTGTTAACCTCTAAACATCACAAACTATGAAAATCTGGGCTGTTTTGGTGAATAACAAGTACTCGACCAAATAGTAAACATCTCTTAAATCTAATATTATGGTGCACCCAAAAATATTGCGGGCCACAACAGTTTGACAGTAAAAGAGGCCGATTCGTTTCATTTCATCATGCACCACAAATCCTGCTTATACTGGATTAAAGAACTTTACAAACTGGTGCTGGGACTTATATTGGCTAGTATTACTGTATATAGTACATATTATATATAGCTGTTAATATGCAAATTGTTGTTGTAATATGTAAAGTTCATTGCCCTAGTCACTGTTAACATTTGTAAATTTTGGATAGTTCTATGAAAATACCATATTATAATCAATAAAACAGAAGGTGCTTGCTTTATTTCAGAATATGACATTATTACATTATCTGTGGACCATTTCAGCAATTTACAATGGAATCGCTCCAGTGTAGTTAAACCAATAGGGGTCCCCAGACAGCCTTTTGCACTGTGCATTGTGGACACTGGCTAAGTAAACAGACTTGTCTATCTCTGCAATATAAGTGTTTGGTGTGGCAAAAATTATGAAATAAAATGTAAAAATTTGCACTGAACTCAATCCCATCTAATGTTACTAAATGTCATGTTTTATATCTCCTCATTTTAAAACCATGGGAGTTAATACATTGTTCAAGTTCATAAAGCAGTTCTTTCAGTCCATTACTTGATTACTCTAAAATTAGATTTCTATCCTGTGCAGTAGACAGATTTATCAGACTTTAGTCCTCTAACAGTCAGGACCAAATTATTATTACACCTCCCCATTCCATTTATCTGTCCATTACAAATCACAAAAATGATTATATTATTTCATGCATAAATGAAGTTGATGTTATCTCAGATTCATATTAAATATGCACTATGCAACTTTTGTGGTAGAGGGACCGCCACCTGCATGTCACCATGGAAACTGCTTCAGTTGTAATGTTCCATAGTATGGCATTAAAGGGACAGTCCAGAATTTTGGACGTAGGGCCTCATTTCCTAGTTAGCCACAGTGATGGAGATATGTGGAGACACTTTTTTAAATATTCCATCCAGTCCTTGTATTTGTAGAGGTCGCTGGTGCTAGGCTAGTGCATGTCAATGGCCATAGTTAGTCTGCCACTAAAAACTGTTTTACCTACTCCACAAAACTCCCAAGGCAAATCAATTATTACACCAGACTATCGATGTAAATGTCTGTGTTAGAAGGATAGGAAGGAATATTTTAAAAAGTGTCTGGTGAAGGGTACCCCTTCTAGTTGTTTCCACAGAGATGTCATTGATTTACTTAGAATAGAGTATCATTAAACTTAATAATTAAACTTAATACTATAATTCAATAAATGAAGATAAATTTGTTAAATGCCATTACATGGAACATTCAAGCAATTCAAGATAAGTTGCATAGTTTAAATTTCACCCAAGATATAACTCCTAAAATAGATACAATTTAACATGTTATCTCATCTTCTCATCCTAGACCTGCTCCAGAAATGTCAGACTCCAATAGTGGCTGGTGTCTGGCTTTGTATTGAAAAATTTCTGTTTCTTTTAACGGAGCTACTTCCCACACTCGCAAGGGCATTCCTTTGTAAGAGAAACAAAACTGCACAATCATTTGTCATCTGTGCATCTCCCCGACTACTGTAATCAGCCAGGTATGTCAAAAACAGGGACAGTAGACTTAAAAAACACAGTGTAGCCCAGCAAAAACACTGTCTTTTGTTGTGCGTTCAATGCAAAGTCGTCATTTTGGACTTTTATTGTAATCACATGCATTGGCACACCACCTGCCTAAATGCATAATAGTGCATTTTCATGCCTACTTTGCATTCTTGCTCATGTATAAAAGCTCAGCAAGGTTACTTTTGTTTTTTGGGGACTAAACATAATAGAAAAAGTACACTGAGGCGTTTAGTGCAGTGTTGTAAAACCTACTGTTGTTCATTATCGGTGAAATGGAGATCCAGCTTCAACTGAAAGTCCACCTCGCTCAGAGCCTCCTCCACCTGTGAACAAACAAAGGAGATTAGCATTTCTCTTCAAAGGGCACTGTATTTCAATACTGTAGTACTTTAAAGGCTACTGTGTTTGTGTCTGCTATGTAGTTATAATCTATGACAACCCTACTTATGAATCCTACGTTTATCACTGATTAAGAAAATCAAATTTGAGAAGTAGAGAGCAGTGAACGTATGCTGGTGCAATAGGCAATATAACATCTTGAAAATGAGTGATTAAAGATTATCAGGCAAAATACCCACTTGCCTAACAATTATTGGGCAAAATACTCACTTGTTTAGCAATTATTAGGCATAGGATGTGCATAGGGTGTGTATTTGTGTAACAACTTAGGATGTGACCTAAGGAGATCAATATCCTACATCAAGGTGTGCAGAATTATTAGGCAGCTTCTTTTCCTCAGGCAAAACGGACCAAAAAGAAATTTTGACTCTGAGAAGTCAAAAAAAGTCTTTCAGACAGAGGCAGCACTCTTGAAATTGCAAAGATATTGGTGTGTGATCACAGAACCTTCAAACATTTTGTTGTAAATAGTCAACACTGTCGCAAGAAACATGTTGAGACACAAATTAACTGCCAGATTTACAGTGAAGAAAACCAGTGCTCCTGTCTGAACAGTGTCTGGGAGCCTGTGGTCGCTGCTGCAAAAAAAGTTGATCAACTCCATGACTCCATGAATGGAAGGTTTATGACCATTAGTGAGAAGAAGGGTGGCTATATTAGTCACTCATTTTTTTATTTTTTTAAATGTCAGAATTGTTTATTTGTAAATTTTGAATTGTTTACTATTCTGACAGATGAAAATAAACAAGTGAGCAATGTTTATTTTTCATTTAGTTGTGTAATAATTCTGCCCAATATTTGTGCGCACATAGATTTTCTCCTAAGAAAGCCAAAACTTCACTTTTACTTTCTAAAATATTCAGGTTTGAGGTTTATTAACATTTTGGATTGACCCACAGCACTGTAGTTGTTCAATTATAAAATGAATCCTCAACTTGCCTAATAATTATGCACACAGTGTACAATATAATGCAAATAAGTGTGCAAGTATTTAGAATGTAGTATATGTTACAATTTAGATGTTAATGCAGGTATCCAGTATTGTAACTAAATACATTTTCAAAGTATTGCCAACACTGAATAAGTAATGAAAGCATCATTCTGATGTTATAGCCTCAGATGTGATAATCAAAGTACATGTGTCGCTATTCCTGATGACACTGTATTCTTTTTACTCCAGTTACCTATCCAATTATTATGTACTACTATTTTCAGGGAAGTTTTAAACCCAGAGTGAAGCCTACTGTACATTAGCACATGTTGCAGTAGGGGAAATGGGAACTGCACCACCGTGACACTAATTATATTTTTTATACAAATGAAATATAGATTAATCTTCTATTTTTTTTCTACATTGTCTCTCATCAATCAGTGGACAAGGTTACATTTTTACATAATTAGAATTGCCATTTTAGAACATGGTTATAAATAATAAGTTTCCAATTCAAATAAACATTTTTTTAATAATGAAATAATATGTAATCCTGGAACCGAATGGACATAGTACATGTTGTTCATTTGTAACCCATGGCACCCAAGCTTAATGAATATCTGTCTCGTGACATAAACCTTAAACCTTGGTTTCATTTGTGTTACTTAAAAGTCTCCGTAATCCCATCTTTACATTCAATAATACCCAGGGTTTGATCTCCTATGTGTGCTTGTTTAAAGTCTAATGGTCCACACATGTTCAAAGTACCATTGAACCCTCTGCATTTAGAACGAAGTACAAAGCCTGGTTGTACTGCAGTCGTTTGAAGACCAGATCAGGCGTGTGCTAATCACAATCAAAGTGCTGACAGTTAAAGGCATGGATGTGGTAAACAGACAGTTGTGTTCTCTCATGTGATTGATGTAGCATGTATGTGTGTATGTGTGACTATACAGAGGCTATTTCAGGGCTGCACTGTGGAGCTGTGGGCTGGAGATAACCTCTGGAAGAAAAAAAATAAAAAATACAGGAAAAAAAGACTGGAATGGAGCCAATACAACTTGCTGTAAATGTCGGCTAATAATAAACAAGCTAATGTTAGGAGAAAGGGCAAAGCTGTGTAAGGCAATGGCATTTTGCAATTAATAATAATCCAACAATGATTAAAGGGCCCATATTACAATATTTTCTGATCTATGTTATAATGTTGTTACCTCATCACAAACACACCTGGAGTTGTGTTTTGTTTCATTCACACATACCCCACATATTTAGGCTGAGTTCTTCTCTCCAATAGAAAACACCCAATAATTTTAGCCCTGGACCGGGCTGTGGGACCCTGGATCCAGATCTATGAGTTTGAAGGAGATGGGTGCTACAGCAAGAGTCTAAATCTGGAGATTTCCCTTCAAACCGTGCCCTGTTTTATGCTGTATAGGTACAGTGTACACTTATATGAATATCTATTTTTCTTTAATAAAGAAGCATGTTATGGAGCTAAATTATTCCCTGATTGGGGGAAAGATGTGCTGACTTAGGTAGTGTTGTGTTTTTGTTTTTGTTTTTGACAGGGAGCCAGTGTCTGCGTGAATGTTCATGTATGTCAGTTGGAACAGAGCATTTTGAGCTTTGAAGATGTAAACAGACTAATAATAAAAAGTTACTCAGACATGTGTGAATGAAAGAAAACACAACTCCTAGTATGTTTGTGATAAGGTAACATTATGACATGGCTTAAAGCTCACAAGAGACAATTTTGTGTAATATAGGACCTTTAAGTGGGTTAGAAAATATTCAGTCTTTCTTTCTGACTACATGTGATTTTAGGATACAGCATTCTCAAGCAGTGCCACTTTTGCCACTCAAACATAGACGACATTTTTACCTTGCTTGTTATGACTACAAATTGCTTCACTGTAAATTGCTAAGAGCCCTTGCCCAATTTTGCCAGTGTAAACATGAAATTGCCTGGACTCTCAAACTCAATCTCACATACTTTTGACTGGTCACCTATTCCTTTTTGCATTTAAAGGTCCTATATTACACAAAATTGACTCTTATGAGCTTTTAGCCATGTTGTAATGTTGTAACCTTATCAAAAACGAACCTGGAATGTTTTGTTTCATTCACACATATTTGAGTAACCCTTTATCATTAGTCTGTCTACATTTCCAAAGCTCAAAATGCTCTGTTCCACATTGTGATGTCATGAAGTGGTAGTTTTCAAGTTAACAACTACTGTTTACCTTTTGATTAGTAGTAATTGGAAATGATCTAAATGATTCCAGTGAAGGTGTATGGATTTTAAAAACACAGTGGATGAAACAAAACAGGACTCTGGGTATTATAACATGGCTAAACGCTCACAAGAGTCCATTCTGTGTAAAATAGGACCTTTAAGATCTTTATAAAGGCTGGTTGATACAAGTCCAGGGGTACTGTCACCCATGGTCCACTCGTCATCGTGAAGCACTCTCATGAATCTTCAAAGCTCTTGTGTCCTGTGGTGCTGTGTATAGTACTGGGTCCCCTCTCTCTCATCCATCAATGCTGCCTGTGTCAGAGAACCATGACTGATGCTCTCCTCACTTACAGCTGTCAGGAGCGAGATTAGCCTTCGCCACCTCTGCACACATCGCTTAGGTCACATGATCACTGCCAGGACCAGGAAGAAGTCATTTTTCAAGATGGCGGCCATAGTAAGAGCATTAAGAACATTCTGTCAATAAGTGTCAAGGAGATTGAAGAGGAGAAGCAATCCTGCAGGACTTTTAATCTTAAAAAGGTTACAAATGTGTTTTTAGCCAAAGAATAATCTCTTAGTTTTTTTTTTATTATTCCTGTATAAATAACAACACTTTGAAGACTTTTAAAGTGTAATGAAATCATTTTGAGCTATGTATCTGTTTTAAATAAAAGTGCTGCAGTCCAAAGTAGTAGAAGTAATAGTATTAATTTGAGGTATCTCATCAGTAGAATTGGCAATAGTAGTAAAAGTAGTAAAAGTAGCAGCAGTAATAGTAGTAGCAGTACCACTGGCAGCAACGGTAGAGATTTTGTGCAATAACCAGTACTGAAGTATGCTCGTTAGGAGGTAAATCTATCATGTATCACATTGGATTCTGAGGTACCCATGTAATTCTCAACCCTAAGTACAAGTAGCAGTAGCAGTAGTACTGGTAGTAGTAGTAGTAGTAGTACTAGTGGCACATTAGGGATTTTGCGCAATAATCAGTACTAAAATCAGTAAAAGAATCATGTATCCCATCAAATTGTGAGATACACTATCATTTCTACCCTAAGCAGAGGTACAGTAGTAGAAGTAGTAGCAGTATTAATAGTAATAGGAGCAGTAACAACAATGTTAAAGGCAAACGCAATATACTATTCTTTCCCTGGAGCTGTATCTGCTGTTGTGACCAACCTACTCGACCAAAAAGACTCTTTAATTCATTTTGCATATATTACCCATAATGTGGTCAGGCTACCAACTCATTTTCATTTCTTTGATTAAATAGTTGATGTCATATTTGGCCAGCTGGATAAATGAAAGCTCTGCTGGGCCTCTGCTCCTGGCCACAGCCCAAAGTAGAAAGTGCAGGGGAGTGAGAGGAAGAGCAGAATCAATGAGTCAGTCCAAGGTGCCTTTGAATATACAGACTGCAAGAAGAAGAATCCAACTCTGAAAAGCCCCATAGCACAGGGTGTCATAGGGTGTCAAAGGATACAGCTGCCCAGTTTGGTTTATAAAGAGAAGCAGGTATCTATTGGTGGCTAACACTCTCGCCTCAAAGCAAGAAGCCTGTGGGTTTGACTCCTAGGATTTTCTGTAAATAGTTTGCATGTTTCTCCATGTTTCTGTGTGGCAGTTTCCCCCATGAACACAAATATGTCTGAACATAAAATCGTTTGGCTGAGGTAGTCCTGACCTCAAGATCTGGAGACGGATCCCCAAAAGTCCACTGCTCCTGACAGGATGCCCAGTGACATTGGATGGGTCAAATACAAAGGACAAAAAGACACGTAGAGAACATGCAAAACTCACGCAAAAGGCCCCAAATGGCGAGGGAATTTAACCTGTGATCGTCAAGCTTGTAGTTTTTTTAAAGCATGTAGCTGTTTTTGATCTCATATTCTAAGGTACAAGGATGTCTATTACATTACTAAGCACTAACACTTCAGTATGCTTTTTATACTCTTGTCAGTACACAGTTCTCATTTTATGCTCATTATAAACAAATAATACCATAATTACAGGCACAGCTTATCTGATTCCTGCATGTACACAGTGGTAACGCCAGCTGTAATACTTTTCCATTAGCACTCAGCGTCATGCTTTTAATTGTGTTATGTGAAATCCAGGCTTTAATTAAAAGTGCTGTTGGACTCTGTGAAAAGGCAAGTTAAAGGAACAAAAGATATGCATACGTTTAGTTTTCTACCTGTATCTTCTGTGTAATGAAAAAGGTGGGGGGGGGGTTGCTGAAGTAACAAAAGTAAAAGTAGAGATCTGCAAATTTGCCATCACATTACATAACCTGGCAGGAGCTAGACAGATTTATGAGTCTTTTAATGTTTTCGGGAAGAACTGAAATTAGTATATTTTGTGTTTTTCCCCAAAGGGCACATTGTAAAATAGTCTGTAACAAAATGACTGTCTGTAGCTAATATTAAGTGCACTGCAAAAACTAAAATCTAGCCAAATTGAAATTACTTAAATTAAAAAAGTTTGATTTGAATAATTTTCACTTGGCAAGTAAAATGATCTACCAATAGGACAAGACATTTTGTACATAAAAAATGAAAACACATCTTGCTATGGTTAAGAAAAACAACAACTCTTTCCACTTAAAGTAGGAAACAAAATCTAATGTTGCTTAAATTAAGAAAAACACTCTCACTTGTTCCAGTGACAGATCATTTTACTTGTCATGTTGAATCTACTCAAAAAAGTAATTTTACCAAAATTAGATAAAACTTTTTTACTTCAATAAAGGTGCCAAAAGCAGTGCTCAGTTTGGCTGTGCTTTGGTAGTTTACTAAAGGTTCACTTAGTCACACCAACCTCACAGGATTAACTTCCTCCTTCAATGGTGTGAAAATCAGGTAACTCAGCTTTAAGTCAAATACTTAAAAGCTTGGACCAAGAGACAGAAAGAGCAGGGTGAGCTGTTAAAACAAACTTTTTCCAAATCCCCTGAAGAAAGACAGACATCTTTCCAATCCACAAAAGTACAAATGTCCAACTTGTTTGTTTTGTTTCGGCTGGGCTGCTCCCACTATCAAATCTAAATGACCTGCCCAAAGCCACAGTGCTCTCCTGGTCCATGGGTCAGATCCACCAATGGATTCAAGACAAATGTCTGAGCTAGAGCTGTACAAATACAAAAATAATGTTGTCTAGGATCCAGAATACACACTTCCCCAATACTTTACCAACATGTGAGTCTGGTCACGGGTGACACAAAACTGACTCTACTGAGCCTTTAGCCATTTGACAACTGGAGTTGTGCTTTGTTTCATTCAGACATGTTTGAGTAACCCTTTATTATTATCCTGTCTACATTATGGGGCTGAAATGATCCAAATTATTTTAGTGAAGGTGTATGGAGTTTAAAAACAACACATTTCTTATATTAGCAAATTATATCACAAAATGGCACAGAAACAACATTATAAAAAATAAAGTAGATCAAAAAATAGCATAATATGGGCCCTTTAACAGGTGGATTAGGAACAGGAACTGTCCTTATCAAAACAAATATGCAATAAATTATCACAGGGGACTGAAAAACATTATAGATTTTTGCAGAATCAAGGAGCAAAGCAGTCAATCTGTGGTGAGTCAAAGTTACAATGGAGGAAGTTGAGACCAGACTGATATCTCTCTGTATGAATAATACAAAACAAAAATGTCACTTTAGATCTGCCAGGCAACAAATAATGTATTCCTTCAAAGAATTCTTGTCCTGATTAGTATGGATCTCTGATGCAAACATGCAGTGAAGAAGCATTTTCAAGCCACTAAAAGCAATACTCTCTTGAATGTAAATGTGATTTGTACAAGACTAAAGTACAGATGTTAGTTCCAGCCTTTTAATCATATAGAAATACAAAGCTTTGACTTTGAGGTTGGGGATAATTGTTGGGGTACACGAGGAGCATTGTTTTTGCTAAAAGTCCTATCTATGTTATAATGTTGTTTCCTCAATAAAAACATACATGGAGTTGTTTTTTGTTTTATTCACACATGTTTAACACGCAAACCTTACCTTCTTCTCTCAAAAGGAAAACACTCCGTTCCACCTTGTGATGTGATAATACAGGAGGCTCCACTGTGTTTTAAAAATCCATACACTTTTACTAGAATCATTTGGATGATTTCAGCTCTGGAATTTCCAATCTCAACTGAACAAAAGGTAAAAGGAACTGTTAACTTGGTGGAACAGAGCATTTTGAGCTCTGGAGACTATGTTTTGTTGCTGCTGCCTTTTTTCTTTTCTTCCATTTTTTTATTAATTAATTTATTTTTTGCTATTATGTATCCTCTCTCCCCCATGTGTGAAAAGAAAGGGAGAAAAAAGTTAATAAAAAATTTATCACAAAAAAAACTAACAAAAAGACTATTGTCCATAAGAATGTGTGGTGATCCTGGGGGGACTCACTCTGTCTCCGTCCAGCAGCAGGTGCACTCTGAAGACCATGCAGTCGTTGACGGTGATCTCCTCGTTCCTGTAGAGGATCTGCACGATTCGGCTGTACACAGAGCCATCGTAGACCCCCGGGGAGCTGAAGCTGCATTCTTCTGTAAGGACACAAAAGAAAATACTGTTAGAAATCTAGCCATGTCCAAACTATACTGTAGCAACATGCATCATACTTTCTGTGCTCATTAAAGGTCCTATATTACACTAAATTGTCTCTAGAGAACTTTGAGTTGTGTTATAATGTTGTTATCTCATTATCTCATCAAAGACATATATCTTAAAATTCAAAAGATTCATTCACATTCATTCACACATGTTTGAGTAACCTTGCATTTTTAGTCTGTCTACATCTCCAAAGCTCAAAATGCTCTGTTGCGATGTTGCAATGTGCCTTTAGGTCAGTAGAGATTGTCAATTGCAGGGCTGAAATTATCCAAATGATTCTAGTGAAGCTGTATAGAGTTAAAAAAAAAAAAAAAAAAAAGTGATTTCTGTTTGAGAGAAGAAATCAGTCTAGTTATGCAGGGTTTGTGTGTTAGACGTGTGAATGAAACAAAACACAACTCGAGGTTTATTTTTGATGAGGAAACAACATTACAACATAGATAAAAAAAATAAAAAAATTGCATAATATGGGCCCTTTAAGCCTTTAATGTCAGGTAGAAACCCAAAGGGAGAACCCAAAATGCAGGGCTGCTGAAAAGTTCTTTAATAACAAAGAAAGATCTAGAAATCCATAAACCAAATATGACAAGAGACAAGACGAGACTCTGACAGTGACAATGGACCAACAAAGGGCAAAGGAGAACACAGGGTATAAATACACACAGACATAAGTGAAACACGTTAGGGCAAGGCAAACAATCAAGGCAGCAATTAAAACTCAAAATTGCAAGCAAGAAGGACAAAAGTCAAAATAAAACACCAAAATAAGCAAATACAACCACTACAAACATGAACCATGACATTTAAACCCTTTAAGGCATGACAGAAAAGCAAGTGGGATCATTTCCCATATACTGTAATTGTATAAGACATTTAAAGATTCAAAAATATGTATCATTATGTCACTTACACGGGGAAAACATATTTTAAACCAGGTGTCTCCAACGTGTAGCTCAGGAACTACCAGTAGCTCTCCATCCCCTTCCAAGTAGCTCGCCAAGGGATTTCTGAATTACATGTATTGTGCTGAATAAGTAAAATTTGATTAATTGAATGCCTATTACCATTGTACATGTATCATTTTGATGCCTAACTTTGTACACTAATAAATGAATAATGGTTTATGTTTTATAGGCATTTAACTGTACTTCCTCTAAGGCTCACTCTGGCTCATATATATACTAGATTTCTTGTGGCTGCTAAAACTAGTAGCTCTTAGGCATATTTGTGTTGTAAAAGTAGATCACCGGAGGAAAAAGTCTGGAGACCAATGGTTTAAACTATGCAATGGAATTCTTACTCGCTTGCTACCTTTAGAAATAAATGCGTATAGCGACCTATACTAAGACATGCTCCACTCCAGTCACAGTAGTTATTAGTTACTTTAGTCTTTATTTTTCAGGGAGCATGTACAAGTTCACTAAGCTTACAAAAGAAAAGATGATCTAAAACTGCAGTTCGTGACAGGCAGGGTAACAGGCAAAAAACAAATCTGCCAAATGTGTCACTGTGATGTGAATTCTTTGCTGTAGCTAAATGAGCCATGGGTGACAGACGCCAGAGTTCAAAAATCTGAACTTTCAGCAAAATTCAGGGCACGTCAATGAGTTTCAAGCGTCTGCCCTCAAACGAAGAGGCGTTTGGTGTGATTTTGACCCTGCAGTCTGAACGCAGCATTACACACACTTACTTCATATCCGAGGACTGTGATTATGCCATGCACTAACATTAATGTTGATTTGAGATGTTATGATTCACAAACTTTCTAAGGGCACAGAAATATCCTCAGTGCAGAAAGTGTTCCTGGGGATGTGGTGAATCATCTTTATATCCACTCCTCCTCTGAATCACAGCAGCAGCTTTCTCACTCCTTCAAGTGTGTGATCTGTGCGGTGCTCGGGGGCCCAGCTGAGAGCGCCCCCTGCTGGTCCGGTGATCTTTTCTCTCTCAGTCTTCCTCTGCAGGGGCTCCATCTGACTACACAGCTGCTCAGATAAGTAATGAATCATCCCAGCAGACATTATTGAGGGAGGGAGAATGTATACGGTCTAGAGTTGTAAGTCCACTGAAGAATTTCTTTGTCGAATATGTTAGTAAACTGTGACTTCAATTTTAAAAAGCAAGATTAAACTCACAAATCATCCTGGCTACCTCCAGCTATCTCACTCCATGTCTTCTTCTTTTTGGTTCATAAAGTCATTTTAGTGAACTTAGACAGAATCACCTAATGAATCGACTAAACAACTAAAAGCTTGCAGGTCTAATATGGAGAAAAGGAAGTGAGGCTGGACAAAAATGTGAAATTATAGTTATCACAATATCACAACAGAGGTATTATTGCTTTGCCTGGAATGTTACAGAGTATGGCATTAAATCTCAATGGGGAAAAGCATAACATATCACTAGGCCAAGTCACAGAATCTCAAATCTATCTGCGATTCCAAGGAGGTCTCGCGCGGTTAGGACCTAGGACTGGCTCGTGGGGGGCAGAGCTAGATGAATGTTTGAGCGATAAAAAACCCTACAGTTGAATAAATACAGGATAAATAAGTTTAATGCCATATTGTGGGACATTTCAAGCAAAGCATGTCTCCATGAGTTAGCTTCTTAAAGAAATTTTGCCCTGATTTAGCCTTGTTCTTTTTTGTCCAGATTTTGACACTTTTACTACATTTAATTAAAACTACAACGTACTTAATGTCAGTTAAGTTTTCCATTGAGTCCAGGAAAAGTGCACTGTCACCACAGGGCTAAAACTTTTGCCCTTGAACATTGTGTGTGTTTTTTTTTTCATTAATATAATTGTATGGGTGACCGGTTGCACTTATTGGCAGTCACTAGCCAGTCTGGAGAGCAGGAAATAAGCCTGACCAGTGAGTCATGGCTACTGCCCTATGTCCTGCAAGGTTGTAGAAAGGACAAGACTATTGATTTTTGAGAATGTAATGTATTGTATAACTAGGTGATTAAAGAAGATGTATTATGTTTGTGTCTACTCTATAGTTATAATCAGCAACACCCCAGGATCACTATGTTATACTTGGCATATTTGAAATCAAATTATTCACCTAAATAATTAGTTAAGTCTGCTGACTTCTTTATTAGAAAAATTCTGTAACCTATGGGAGCTGATGTTACCGTGTTCATCATCATAACAAAGACTAGTGAAGCCCCTCTTATGGATTGTTGCACATCAAGTGCAAGTAGTGGATTTTTTTTCATTTGTACCAAAATGATTATGTAACACTGCCAAATCCTACAAGTATTACCAATTTAAAAAATAAAGCTGCAGAACAAAGTGAGTACAGAGCAGTGGTCATATGCTGGTGATGGTGAAAACGTGAATTGAACTTTGAGAGTGTACATGAGAAGAAGGAGGTGAATGAGAAACTATAACATGGTTAAAAGGTCTGAAAAATCTATTTTGCATTATAGATCCGCATTATGTAGTTAAAAGACACATTCGATAGTAAAGAGCACACCGTATTAATGTATTGGTGATATGAACTTCCCACACACAAAATATATGTCCAGTACAATAACTGCCTACTTTTGATATGGATATATTTTTGGTCTGCCAGCTAGTAATCATGCTAAACAGACACTTGTATTTTTAATCACAGTCTTCTGGTATACATGCCCAGCAATTTAAAGGTGCCTTTTCTTGTGTGAGAGTCTACTTGTTACTGTTTTGCCTGAAATATCCCACATTAAGGCAATAAACTTATCTTAACTTATTTTGCTTGTATTTGGTCAAACATGTGTTACTGTTAAAAACATCATGTGAACGGGCGTCACAGTAATTTGGATTTGTGGCATCACATGCTTGTCTCTTTGGTGTTACAGGCCAAAGGCTGTACTGTGAGACATACCAGACAAATTAAGAACAGCATAAGAATGAAACCTATGAAGCATTACTGAAAGTCTAACGTTGTGAACTAGTCAACAAACCACACTCTCTTGTAATACTTAATTGTCACAAATTAAAGATGGACTATGTAACTTTTCTGGTGGAGGGACTGTCACCTGCTCGTCTCATGAAGATGCTGTTGCTTTGCCTGGAACAATCGGTGTGGAATAGTTAAATTACTAGATGAGAGGCGTTTTTATTGCCAAACAATACTAGACTGGGTGCAATCATCAGCTTGTCTCTATGGAGACTGCTAAATTTTATGCCATTCTGTGGAACATTCAAGTGACAAAATAACTACATTTGTAGCATCTCTTTAAGATGGAATGTACTGTATACCAATACCCCTGAATATTACCACTACCACACAATTTAGGATCAATGAGGGCTTGTCGTCTTAGAGATAGTATCTTATGCAGATGAAATACATTGACACAGCAGGATATTTGAGCTCCTCTGGGACTTTCCTACGCTTTTCCAGTATTAATCAATATATAGTAGCAGCTTTATTATAATTACAAACACACTGCAAACACAATGTGGATCAGATTTACACGAGATACTTTGATAACATGATAGTACCTTTGTCTCGTATTACATGATTGATAATGACACACTGCACTGACTTTAGCTTACAGCTATTAATCAGAATTGGCATCCAGAATCTCTTATTGATGTCTGTTATGTCATCCAAGTTTTTCCAAGATTTCTGCAATAATTCTTAAAAGGAGACAAGTGGCTATGGATCGTGCAGCAGAAATTGGTAGCGTACTGTAAAAGAACAAAAAAACTGAATAAATATTGGAGTAGTGTCATCTATCGTCCAGGAATGAAGGTGTTACATAAGAATTTCACACCAACCAACTGATGATTTTGAATATTTTGCTATTTTCTGTATCAAATTCAGTCAATACTGCAGGACTCTTTAACCAACCATGCACCCTAATGGTTATCAGAATTGTGGAGAATGAACACGAATACTGCATTGGGTCAAAGTAAAAATATCCGTCAAACCAATTCATG